TTTAAAGACATGGTTAGAACAATAAGATTCAACAACAACAGATACCCAAAAGCAAATATAGAACTTAAAACTGCACGAAGAGCTAAATGTATTTAGCAATTAGGATCTTAATATCACATATAAATATATCATAACAAGTTAGCTATATATGTATAACTTAACTGAACAACTGGAACGAGTGTAGAAGACTTGTAGGACTTTAAATATTACTACGATAGTGTAGAATCCTTTGATAATAATATGGAAATATATAATAAATATTTATATTTTACGATTTATAATACCACGTAGGAACATAATTATAAATTAACATTAATGAAATAATAGGAACATTCGTACATAATAGCAGTCCAAAAATATTTTTATAACTATCTAATAACTACATATTTTCACCCTCACAATAATTTGATCGTTAATTAAATACAACACTATAAATAACTGATAACATATACTTACCAAAATTTTCATGAACTTTATCAAAATTTTCGCCATTTTTTTGTATATCTATACAATTATAAATTATATTATTTATTCAGCATTTATTTAGTTAAGGAGATAGTTTTTGGAGATAGATAAAATAAGAAACTCGTAACAAGACAATATAATATAAAACATGAGTTCATTAGTAATTATAATGAAACTGAATCCCACGTGACCATATTAAATAATAGATTTATTATCCTGGCTCAAGGGAGTCCACGTACCACATTGCTCGTGGTCGGGAGCGTACCTCATGGTATTTTTTAACGATATTTTTTGTTATAAATAAAATGCCGAATTGTGAGAAGCTTGTGACAGCTCGGGGACAAATGAGAAGAAAGTGACCCAAATCTTGAGAAGCCTATAATTGTGCTTTTGAAGGGGGGAGGGGACAAGGGAAATTCATATTACGACTTTGACGATGCTAGATTGAACGGCGTGTATGAATTGGTGGCTTCGCCCCCAATGGGCCCATCGTTATTGCCCTAGCCCATCATGGTGTGAGGTTTGACAAATCGACAAACAAAATATAACGTTGAGTATGATGATGTTGGATGCGTGGATTGACCACGAGGTTTGGATCGAAGTGCCGGAGACGTGACAGTTGAACACATTCAGCAATTTCAGCGGTCGCAAAAATAGTGTGGAGTCGTCGCCTCGTCGGAGGACGGAGACGTAACTTGGCAGATGACTGGTGTCGGCGCTTTGTACATGTGCAAAGTGGGGAAGGTCAGTGTGTTGCTATTGTGGATTTTCATACAATCATATAATTTCGGGGGACAAGTTGATCTGGCAGATCGTGCCGAACGGTAACGGACGGCCTCACGGCCTGATGTAGCGGCGTGTCAACGTCGAAGACTTCATAAAGAGGGGTCGAGGGACTATAATTATATAATACTACGATCATTACTGCATTAGTGCGCGATATAAGTTGTTTATAATGACTATTGTACCTAGGTAGGTAAACGCAACTGTGTATAATAGGGACAAAGGTATGCTCGGGGACTGTTTATAATTATAATAATACACCAAAAATGCTGTGATGTGTTACATGTTATTCAAACATTTTTAGAAACTATAGAAAGATTTGGTATTCCATAACACAATTACATCGGACAGCGCAAAATGTATCACATGTATTGAATTTCAAGCATATTGCAAAAATCTATAGGCATAAAGCGTATAACCCAGAATCAAACGGTTGTGCAGAATCGGCAGTTAAAACAATTTCTTTAAACAATGCTCGACTGTACAATCTCAATTAAATAAATTTCTTTTTATGTATCGTAATATGTTAGGTCGATTAACACGTTTACAATTTGACGCGTTAATGCGGAATACAATTGAAGTGGTTATTGAACGATAAATAAACATGGTGGTAATTGGAACGTATCATACAGTCAATAATGTTTTAGCTAGATATTATAGAAATAATAACAATAAATGGCAAAAGAGTAAAATTATCAAAACCATTAGTTGCAATATACATAATTTAGAGCTCGATGACGGAACTATTTGGTCATTTGAAGAAACACAATGATAAATTACTCATTGATAAAATACTGAGACCCACGAATAATTCTATATCACTTACATCTGCTAAACAAATAAATGAAAATACTGAAACAGTATGTGCAAATCAAAATCCTGATCCTACAATAATAAATAAAACACCCAGACCAATTAGATCTAGACAACTTTACCGAAAAGTCAAATTTATTGATTGTAAGTTTTTGAATTTAGATCTTAATATTCTCACGTAAATWAACAAATACACAAATTATTTCAATGTAGAACTTGATTTTGACAAAAATGCAAATGGCACCTACGTTTTGTATTGTCGCCCCACTAATATTCTTACAAATATTTCCTTATATTATTGTTATTCGAAAACTGTATTTTTTTTATTTATTTATTAATTGTATTAATTGTAAGTAACTATTTAAATTTTTCGTCAAATGTTTATTTTATCATTTAATATATGTTTGCGCCACAGTGACTATTCGCGCGGCTGGCCGCCTTGGTGCGATAAGGTTTCAGGTAGTCCGCGCACGGTCGAGCCACCATCCTCATTTATGTAAATATTGTTGTGTAATTAAAAATGTATATTGTCTTTGTTTTAATCGGTTATTGTATTCTATGTCTGATGTCTTTGTATATATCGTTCGTTTATCATATTTTGTTTTTCTGTCGTTGTCCGTAGTTGGCGTGTGTTCGCTATTAAAGCAACACTTTGTGTTTTTCTGTTGTCATTTTTGCACAATTTTCCTTTTTGTTAATCGCCAGTACGGCATTAATTTTGTTTTTCTTTTTGCCATTGCGGCTAGTTTGTACCAAATGTACTTCGTCATGCGCTATTAAAGCCAAATTTATTGATAAATAAACTGCACCACAACACACAGAAGTGAGTCATTATTATTGTATATTTCCTCCTTACACACGTCTAGCAAAGTCGCAACCCGACGCACTGAGTGCTACGAGCTTTGGTCTCCGTGTTCCGCCGTCGATACCACGTCAACTGTTGTTGAGTTTGCCGGCCCACGTAAGTCCGCCAGCACCCGCCGTGGTGTGTGAGAGGCCGCCAAGGCCTTCTAGTATCCAGTTCACCTCAACCTCCATCCATCTCAACACGCACAGTCCTCATCATTAGACTAAGTTAAATTTAAGTGCCCATACTGTTGTAAACCCTGCTGCGTCATTGCACCAAACGGATCGACCACAGGGCCCCCCGTCCCCATATATAGCCTGTACCATCCCGTTTCCTATGTAAGTAGGTAGCTTCCTTTCCGTTGTCACATAATCGTCGGTCCACGCGGCCGCCGCCCTCAGAGTAGTTGGTTGCCTATGCATATCATTATCAGGGGTATCGGGGGGAAGTGAGAGGAGTTGCCTACCTAGATTAACTTCGGGCGCTCTACACATCGGCCTGTGGCAAGTGGTCCCGATCGGCACCACATAAAGCCAAGTAGTCGTTCTCGTAACAATATATGTGATACATTTTTCAAAATAGTTTGATTTATTTTCATGTAGAGCTTTGAGATTTTCAATTAAAATTAAATAATAATTTTTTGGCTTAGTTCCAAAAGATTGAAAATTGCATTCAAGGTTCATTATAAGTTGCTATAATAGGAGATAGTTGAAAAATATCAAATGTCCAAGGTAAGTTTGTTTTATAAGCAATTATAGTTTACATTTTTTTTTATTATAGATTATAAACATTGATTATCATAAATAGTTCATAATATTGTAACCTAAAAATCTAAATATATGTATACAATGTTATTTTTCCAGACGTTTAAAATTCAAATCAAAGGCTAAATTACATATTTAATCAAAGAATAATGTTTTTAATTATATTGCT